GTGCCACCTTTTATGGCTGTGGATACGAGTCACGTGCCACCCACCCGGTCTATCAACGACCCGGAAAATATTCAGTGAGAGATGCAGCCACAGAACTGAAACAAAAAAGGAGAGACAATCCGAGTAACCCAAACCCAATGCAATAATGTATTTTATAAAAAAAATACATTCGTCAACAATACTGCCTTAATAGAAAAACAGATATATACAAAATCGCTGACTTTTCAGCCATTGACCCTTTTACAAAGCACGTAAAATCAATCCAATCATCAGCGGCGGAGCCACGGGGGGGGGGGGGGGGGCTGGGGGGGGGGCTCAGCCCCCCCTGAAATTTTGGGAAAGTCGGTAATCGGGATAATCGGATATCCGGCTGCTGCAAAATGCTGTCTGTCACCTCGTGCTGCCCTGCAGGCTGCTTGAGCGGCAGCCTTTCGAACTTATTTCACTTATTAGCCACATCAGCGGCTCCGACCTATTAATAATCTCCGCGTTAAGATCCAATACAATTTGTTTTATACATTTGTGGCGCCCATTGGAAAACATTACACTGGATATCTCAGAATATTGAAGTCAGCACCCCCCAAAGTCAAAATCCTGGCTCCGCCCCTGCCAACCATGGATGGGACTTGTGTGATGCAAGGAGAGCAGACATGCCTCGATGTTCATTGAACTCTAAGACGCCCACACTTATTTTTAGTACAGCTTCTTGAGATGCAGTTGCATTTTTAGTTGCTTGGGGTTATATCACAATGGCAATTGTAATAAAAAAAATGGAGAGAGATAAAAAAACACCCGACCTATTCTGCATTTCGGAGCGAGTAAGTTGAGCAGATTATCAGACGGCATGAAAGGCACCCGAATTATTAAACGGCCATTGTTTTTAGACGAGAATGCGTGATGTCATTTTGAGCAACACGCACACTTGTATATGACCCAAATATAGCCCACCCTTCAAAGCTGCGGATCACGCTGCTGAGACACGTCTAGACACGCCAAACCGACCACGCAGTTTACCCGCTAAGTGTTCAATCCCTTTGAACCATACCAAGTGGGAGGATGCTGATAAATTTGGCCGAGAGCCGACACAACCTTTGTCTATATCTAAAAAAAAAATTCCTGGCTCGTACCGCTTCCGGCGAACGAAACCAACTAACGATCCATCATAAATGCAGTTGTTTTGTTGGGTTAGATCGAGTAAATAGAAGTGTGTCGTTAAACCCACCACCACCTGACACAGGCAATTAGTAAGGTTTGTCACGTAAACAAAACGTGCCAATTAGTTACTACTTCAGCACAGGCGGTGTGTTAGAGAGTAAACCCCCAACATTTACAGTTCGAGAACGACGTTTCGCTGGCGATTTTATATACGCGATCTAACCCCCAAAAATACCTTTATTGTGGCATTAAGTAATTCAAAACACACGACGCGCTCGACTTTAATTGGCGTGTTACACAAGTTACCGACAGTATAATTAATCGTTAACGACACATTTATATTTACGCGATCTAACAAGAAAACTTTCATTCTGAATAATATTGGTCGCGAAATCCAACAACAACAACAGCAACTACTACTACTACGTGTTCAACTAACAAACGAACTCGCTAACCACGGTTAGCTCCGGCGACACTTCCTCCACGCCTCGCACATTGAAGCCGCGGTGGAGGAGGAGGAGTTGGTGCGCTGGCTGTCTGGATCGAGGATGGGAGAGGTTGGTGGCGGGGAGGGCGCAGAGACGGAGAGGAGGAGGAGGAGGTGGAGGGGAGGAGCACAGTGGGGGAGACACGTGGCGTCTATTTTGAAGCAGCACGGCGCGTCGGGCGATTAAATGTCGCGCGCGTCGCGACGGCTCCCGTTGACGTGAGGTTACCACCTCCTCCTCCCTCGGTGGAATTTAGCCGCCGCCTGTAAATTTAATAATACCGGCTGAACCCCCCCCCACCCCCATCAGCGCACACCACCGATGCGCGCCTGCCCGACCTGTCACCGGGCCATAAACGCCACCAACCTGATCACGGTCGTTGGTGTTACCGGGGCCAAGCTCACGCGTTTATTGACTCCTGCGGCCTCACGCGCATGACCTTTTGGTGGTGGTGGAGGGGGGGGGGCGGGAAGCAGGGATAGAATGAGTAAGGTGCGCTGTGTGTGTATGTTGAACTTCTTTCGCACCGTACGTAGCCGCCTGTGCTCATCGGAGGTGCGGGGGAAGGACAACAAATTAAGCAGTGAGGTTTCAACCCAGATTTTAAAAGTGCATAGCTACAGCGTCTGGTGGGGGGGGGCGCAGTGGCGGTGTGTAAACATCAGTACTTGGGGAGACAAAGGCGGCCGGGCGTGGTGTTGGCCACCCCACACGTTCGTGCGACGTACCGACCTTCACAGGTGCTACGCGCTCACAGCACTTGCCCCGGACAGACTGTTCAGGCTACACGCGGGGATCCTTTTTCCTATTTTTTTTTATTACACGCTTTCTTTTAACTCACTCTGTTGTTGTTGTATCCTCAAATCTTGTAGCTCAATTTTAACCCACTTCCCAATGTGGTATCGACTGCAAATTTGGTATACTTATGTCATACTGATGACAATACTATATTCTATCATTAAAAATATATCTTTTTAAACATTATTTTTTATATGTTATGTTTCGGCTTGCGTCTAATTGTCCACGGTCAACTAACGTTGGCTGTTAATCACCACGGGCCCCTTACCTTGTGGCAAGCTTCGGGGCCACTTCCTGGAGTCGTGGAGTTCTGCCATTACTAGTACATTTCATAAAAGCGTGTTTTTAAAAAAAATTTTTGACTTATTGCCCTTTGTGTGGCGTGCGACAGGCAGCACAACGCCCGGCTCGAGCACGACGAGCTAACTGGGTGAGGTCATGGAGGGGTTTTACGACCGAGCGGTGACGATGTGGAACGTGTCGACTACAAGGCGACTCTCTTTCTCTCGGCTTCGAGACGATCGTTGAGAGATGCTCACTTCTCCCCCCCACCACCACCGAGCCCCTTCTCTCGCTCTCGCCTCGCCGAACAGGGAACACACAATTTGGACTTGAGTGGACGTGCGAGACGCCCAACCTGCTCCCTGCCAGTCGAGCAACATTTTATCTACATCATGACACCTTGCCGATATTAACTCTGTTAACCTATTTGTATTTTTTTATTTTTAAATTATATCTTAAAGCTATTTTATATTCGATATTTATTCAATTTTATATACTTCAGCCCCTTGGTGTTAGTTAGACTTTTAACCCGTATTATTATAGTAAGATTTATATTCTTAGTTTTTTCGGTAAAGTCACGTTGAAGAGAAACAACAAAATAATAAAATATATATAAAACAATAAAAAAATTCTCACGACGTTTCGACCATAACTCACCTGAAGATGACCGTTTGAGTTATGGTCGAAACGTCGTGAGAATTTTTTTGTTTTATATATATATTATTATTTTGTTGTTTCTCTTCAACGTGACTTTACCGAAAAAAACTAAGAATATGAATTACTGCAGTCACGAAAGATTTAAATCAAAATAGTAAGATTTGTTTAAAACTGATTTAAGATTTTAGATTCCTATATGTTGAATGTATGCACCATCCTGCCAAAGTAAATTCCGTGTCGGTGTGAACTTTCATGGCGAATAAAACCCTTTCTGATTCTGATTCTGAGCAAGCAGGTTGTCCTGAGAGTTTGACCCGTCCCGATTTTTGATCATGTCGGCGGTGTCTCCTAATCTTTTGTACAGGACCTTGGTCGATCCGCTGCTGGATGAAAACCTCCCCGCGCCATGCCAGCCATGAGCATCGTCTGAGCATAATGATGAAACCCCCCCCCCCCCGGTAATTTTGAGCCTGCCGAAAAGGTCCCGTAGATATAACCCCCCCGACCCGAGCTATAAGTGTTCCGATGCTTGCATTGATTTCATGCAGTTTGGCGTTCTCTGGTGACACCGGTGAGACAATGGCACAAAGAAGGCTGTTTCTGGTGTAGGGCAATCAGTTTCAAGGAAAATTAATTTATCATGAGAGCATGTTTTATCACAAGTATGTGTGGTTAATGCAGACTCGATACTTTGCAAAAGGTATCTATTTTGGTGTTTGAACGTCTTTCCACATGTTTTATTGCCATAAAGAGTTTAACCTATTCTAATTTTCGTCATTTTGATACTGGCAAAAGGTTAAATGGATGTTTGACCATATTTCATCATGCTGGTCGTCAGGGCGATCGGCCATATCATCTCCTTCAGACAAAGTATCCGTGCGAAATTCTTGCAGAGCAGTTCACCAAACCCACGTGTCAAGAGGACGGGGTATTTGTTTTTGTTTACCCAAGAGGTGACCATCCTCGTAGCCCAAATTCGTCCAATTCGAGTTTGCATAATTACCACAACAGGTGCGGCCCAGGTAACATAATCACACGCATCAGCAGGCATTTCGTAAATAAAAAAAAATAGCAACCGCCGAGCCAAATGGCTCATTACATCGACTCCATTCAAGAGCGTGTGGCCTCTGTGCACATTCTGTGCGATGTTTGTGGGGGTTATACGAGCCGGGCCGCTTTTAAATAAAAAAAAAATGTGTGTTTATTATTATTTTAAATGAAAAAAAACTGCTGTGCGCGCAAAGCAGTGGCTGAAATAACAGAGCGTTTATAAGGGAGGGTAGTAGAGAGAGAGAGAGAGACTTAGAGGAGTGTTTAACGCACGCGCGCGTGCACGCGTGCACACAGAGGTGAGGAGGGAGGGAGGGAGGTGGGGTGGGGGCTTTTGTGCGTTGCTAAATTTAACATTGCCCGTGCGTGCGCACCGCCTTCGTTCGTTCGCCCGGTGGCTGTCGGCAAACACACGAAGGGATCGGGTGACGTGCCCACGCTTGGCACGATCTGGGGGGCTCAAGACGCTGTTACCTAAGAGAGAAGGAATGGGGATCGTCAAGTGTTGCTAGACAACCCCCCCCCCTCGCCACCGCCCTCGCTCTCCCACCCCGCCCCCCACGTGAGCTCATACCTCCCCGTGTAACCGCAACCAAACAAATGGCTCGCGGCAATGACGGTGGCCATGATGACGATGTGATAACGATGATGATGATGATGATGTGGCCAAGGAGTTTATTCATGACCAGGTATGTAATGTCGTCGGTCGGCCGGTCCCTTGTGGTGGGGTAAAGCGTGGGTGCTCCCCACCTCTCTCAAAACGTCTCGGCGGCGTGGAAGAGTAGGCCAAATACCACGACAAGATGGGGCTGTGTAGAACTCCCTCGAGCGGAGGCCCTTCCACAAGCAGTGGCGTGAGCAGGCAGTTTGCAGGGCAGCACCTTCACCTTTCATTCCATACCCCTCTTCCCGTGCGAGTGTTCTGTGCACAGGAAAAAAAAAACCAGAGTGACCGACGGCAACGCAAGCATTCGGGGCATGCGCGCTCATACACTGACACGTGCACACATATCATTCATACAGATGGAACGCGACGCTTAGCACTCTACTCGCTGTCCTGCATTCTAGAGGCCTCGCACCTGTGTTGGCCTCTGGGTGGGCATCTCACGCAGGCTCGATCTCCGCATGATCCACCAACCCCTGCCACCGAGCACCACTGGATTGCAGACATCAAAGGCGCTACGGATGCATCGATTCGTCGACTGACGGTGTTGAGTCTTAAGCGCGTGATGCCTGCATCAAATTGCGTGTGTGAGGATCAACGTTTGTCAAATTCGTATATGTTGTATATATTTTGGGTTCGCGTGACCTTTGCAGCCACAAGAGGCGCTAACATTCATGGCAAATGCTAAATAATAATTCAGTACAGTAATGGATTCTGAAATCGTAATCGTGATGGTGTGTAAACACAAGGACTGGGGAAACAAAGGCGGCCGCGTGATCCTGATTTGCAACAAACATCAAACATTACATCTTGAATTGTTTTTGAGTTAGTGTCGCAATGATCTGGCGAAATATGTGTCGTAATACCCTCCACCACCCGACGTAGGAGCTTCCATGGATACAATCGCCTCAACTCTCAAGCTTTTGGGAGTCGATGCACCCACCAGCAACGCCACAAAGACACAAAGACAAAGATTCCCCGTATAGCCTTAACATGCTGTTTGTGGCAAGTGCTCTTCGCGAGCACCTATGAAGGCCAGTATAGCACACAACGGAGTGGGTGGCCAGCACCACGTTTGACCGCCTTTGTCTCCCCAGTGGCGATGTTTACACCATCGCACCTGCTACTCATTTGAGGCCTTAGTCGATCTAAGGGCAGGCCCAGGACCGGTTCAGATAATTCACCACAGGTGTCGATGGCCGTGTGCGGGAATCGAACTCGGGTGGCCGGGTCGGTTGAGCGACGCGCTCACTGCCGCCGCCAGAAGCGTCGCAACGCTCGGCTGCTCTCTCTCAAGCACTTCACGAACGAAACAAGTTACGAGATGGCTGAAACTCTTCCAATAGTTCAAGCAACTTTGATCGAACGCTGATACTGCGCCCGGCTGTTTTCGTTGCTAGCCAGCGAAGCATTGCAGAACCCGATACGGGGCATGCGTAACCGATAATCTGATGCGAGGAGTAAAACGCCAAATTTGCGGATTTGTTCTTCTTTCTGTTCGGCGGCGGTGGTGGTGGTGGTTGTTTTTTGAGTGGCGTGCGGTGAAAGGAGAAGCTGCGTTCTAGTTAAGCAGGTGAGATGCTGCTCGCATGTCTATCAGGTTTCCCGGTGCTTTTGTGCTCAGTCCAATGCACTCAGCCACGAGCACACACAAAGACAAAGATCCCCCGTGTAGCCTTAGCAGACTGTTGGGTCCAGTGCTGTTAGCGAGCACGCATGAAGGCTGGGCACGGCACACGAGGGTGTGTGTGTGTGTGTGGCCAGCACCACGCCCGGCCGCCTTTGTCTCCCCAAGTGGCGATGTTTACACACCACACCAGGTGCTCCTGTGAGGCTGAGTCGACCCAGGGGAGGCCGAGGATGGGCTCAAGTAATCGTCACCGGTGTTGCTGGCCGTCAGCGGGATTAGAATTCGAGTCACCGGGTTCGTAGCGCAGCGCGCTGACCGCCACAGCCACCGCTCCCGCTCACCAACGAGCACCTGTGACGAACTGAGTGGCGGTGCGCCTTCTCGAGAACTAGTTGGGAAGAAACAACAACAACAACAACAACAACAAATGAATACGCATGGTATTACGCAACGCTTTCCAACACGCGTTTGTCTGCACGAGTATTTACTTAGCCTTGAGGTAGCAAATGCCATCTTGGCATGGCAAAATGCATTCGTTCAAGAGGGAGCGTCCCTTATGGCAACACAACTTTATTCCAGTTTGATCATCTTTACGGAGGTGATTGCACCTCCTCCGCCCTTTTCCCCAACCCCTCGCACCTCGTTCTGCACTGATGGACGGACGGACACGCGTGCTGCTGACTTCTCAACAGGTCGTACCGTCTCGCTCAACGTACCGACCACACACCTACACACAGAACGAGATGAAGGGTCGAGCCAACCCCCTGGTCAGATTCGAACCGACAGACAGCCTCATGCGGCTTGACCAAACAGAGACGTACAAAGCCTGGCTATGGACTTTCTGAAGATCTCCGAAAAGGATGGACGCCCCACCAAGACGGACGTGTCCGTGTAAACACGTGGGCTCTCGCGACCCATTTACTCTGCAACAGCACCGGTGTGTGCTGAAGTTGTACCCCATTGCCACGTTTTGTTAAACTGGCAACACCTTGGCTATTTGGGCTGTGTCGGGTGGTGGCGGGCTTTAACGACAACACACACATTCACGCCCCCTAATATACAAACATCTATTACGGACGTGTCCGATCGGGCGTGGGCTATGGGAGAAGAATGCCCGATTCACGCGGCCCTGTGATCCACTGCCTGTGGGTCAAGGCGGGCGCGCTCCTGAGAAATCGCCCTCCTACGACCTCTTCATTTCGCTTCCTGCTGTCAGGAGGAGGGTGATGGGGGGCGGGCACGGCGGCGTGGCTTGGGGGGGGGAAGGGGGCACACCATCTCGGCTCATCTCTCTCACTCTGGCTCTCTCTTAACCAGCGTCCCGGCAAGCCCTCATCCTCCTGGTCCCCGCGGTGGCTCTCGGGGCCCGCCGCGCTCTTCACTGCAGCCACTGTGTCTGCGGCTGGAGATCGCTGGAGGAGCGCTCGTCCCACTCGTGTCTGTGGGGGATAAAACAAAAACAAATTGTGGAGTGGCATCGTGGGTGGGTGGGTGGCTGTTGGTGGCGGCGGCGGCGGTGGTTATGGTAACTCTCGATTCCTCCACGCGTCCTCAATCTCAATTCCGATGGCAATTTGTGGCTTCCCGGAGGAGGGGTGCTCGCGTGAAGAGGCTGGCGCGATCGATGGCACACTCGAAGCCAGCCAGGCTTACAACTAACCCCCACTCCCACACACCCCACCCCAGTCCTCTCCACAAACTATCTCACGGAACTGGCAAAAAATAAAAATAATAAAACAAATAATTATTGGCACGTACGTGGAGACGGTGTAGGATTTGGGGTGTGCGTGTCTTCACTGCACGTTTGGGATAAACCGTTGGAAGTCGATGGCTCGGTTTTTGGCAATGAACCAAGAGGCGTATGTATAAATTGTAAATATCATCATGTAAAATATGCGTGGATCTCTACACGTACATTTATAGTCCTGCTGTCAATCCACTGTTGAACGAGGACGTCCACGCACCGTGTGGGTCATGACAGTCAGTTGATCATACTTCACCGCGCTGAACGGCGCGGTTTGGTGTCGGCGGGGAGAGGAGACACGGGAGCATAGATGTACAGCACAACGATAGATTTCGCTTCACTACCAAACTGTTAACAACGTATTCTTTGTTTTTTTTTCCGGTAAAGTCACGTAGATAGAAAAATAATATTATTACGTAGATAGAAAAATAAGAATATAATATTATTTTTCTTGTACATTTTTTGTTAAATAAAAAGAAAATATGTGTTTTTCTATCTACGTGACTTTACCGAAAGAACCAAAGAATATGAATTCCTGCAGTCACAAAAGTTTTAAGTCAAAGCAGCAGCCGATATGACACAAGCACTTGTCCAGGCCGAGGGGGCCCTGCTTATCTTCTGAGGCCCGATGAGATTGGGGCCCATTCCGAGGCGAGTTGGTCGCACGCCTTCACCGCACGACGCTTGTGAGAAACTTTTAGTTTTGCGGGGGGGGGGGGGGGGAGGGGGGGTCGTGGGGTCTGGGGTCCGGGGGGCGGGGAGTTCCGGCGGGCCGGTCACGGTTCACGATTAAGCACGGCTGGCGACGTACGGTGCGATGGAAGTTTCAACGCACGCGAAGCAAGCGACTGGCGAGTGCACGCACCGCGTCACACATTTTCATTGGCCTCCTCGCCGCGTGTTTACCGTCGGCTCCGCATCCTTGGACATTTTTTTTGCGAATTTTTTTTCTTCCTGCGCGCACTGTACTTAATTCCCTCATTAAAATGGAAATCAATTTATAACATTTTTGTTATTCTGTCTCTCACTGTTCAAATAAACCTACCATTAAAATTATAGACTGATCATTTCTTTGTCAGTGGGCAAACGTACATAATCAGCAGGTGATCAAATACTTTTTTTCCCGCACTGTAGAGCGGTTAATATTTTGATGGTATCACGTGGTAATGCTCCATCACATGTTTTAAATCTATTACACAGTGAGTATTGAACTGAAGCTTGACTTAAAAAATGTAATCGCAATATCTGTCAGAAAAATCTCAATGAGATATTTCCCCCAAATCGTACAGCCCTGGTTTTGCAGTAATTCACCAACAGACAAAACCGCGCGCAAACTGCGTCTCAGATCGCTCCGTCCAAACTTTCGTGCGCCGCTCCGATTCATCGGCTCAACCACTGCCCTTGTTATTGTTTACCCGTCGGACATCGTTACCACCCCCCCACTCTGCCCACCTCTTTCTTGGGTTACATTCTGTGGCATTTAACATCGCCGAGACTGAGTGCATCGGCGATGTTTAAAGCATAGCATGGAGGTCACCGCGGGTGTCTCCCGTACGCAACTCTGTTGTGTCAATGTCGTCCGCGGGAGCATCAAAAAGCTTTGAACTCCACACACCACACACCCCCCCCTCCCCACCATCCGCTGTGATCGACCGACAAACGTCATTTGTGTTTTCACAAAGTTCGAGCAGATTGCATCCGTGGAGAGACAGACGCAAAGCGATGGAATTGCACCTGCGGATGCTTGGTCCGGGCTTGCGGTTCGGGTGGGCGGGTGGATGGTGTCGCGTGTGTTGGGTTGGAGGAAGGCGGCTGGAAGAACAGAACGGCCACAATTGTTTTTTCTATTTTTCCAATCAAGAATATTTATTCATACTGGAGGAATCGAGATGACATCACGGCCAAAGCTGTTAATGCCACCAGAGGCAGTGCCTCTCTCCGTCTCACTCTCACCGCTTCGGCCAGATCCTCGCAGCTGCAAGGCGGCAGACACCCACGCAGTACGGACATCACGCTGTAGACACACTCGAACACCGCTGGCTACGTACGGTGCGCGAAAGAAGTTCAACGTACGTACAACACGGTAGGGCTCTCCTAACCATCCTACCCACGTCGCATGTTTTTGCCCACTTTACTTCTTTAGAGGGGGAGTTTGGTGGGGGGGTGGAGGTAGGAGGCAATTAGACCCCAATAATTTCACACAAGCAACAGCATCAGCAGAAAACTCGCCGGACGGGCTTTAATCCGTGTGACGACATCCGTACCGTATACAAAGAAAAAGATCCTCCAGTGTGGCCTTAACAGATTGTAGGGGCAAGTGCTGTTAGCGAGCAACTAACGGCAACACGAGGGTGGGTGGCCAACACCGACGCACGACCGCCTTTGTCTCCCCAGTGGCGATGCTTACACACTCATTTGAGGCCGAGTAGACCTAGGGGAGGAGGCCCATGACCAGTTCAGGTAATCGGCACTGCTGTTGGTGGCCGTGAGCGGGGATCGAATTCGGAACGCCAAGTTCGACGCGCAGCGCGTAAACCGCTACACTACCGCTCCCCACATACTGTATACACACACACGCGTATACAAAGGCAAAGACAAAGATCCCCCGTATAACCTTAACAGATTGTAGGGGCGAGTGCTGTTAGTGAGCACCTATGAAGGCCAGAACGGCACACGAAGGGGTGGGTGACCAGCACCACGCCCGGTCGCCTTTGTCTCCCTAGTGGCGATGTTTTTACGCACCGCATTAGCTACTCATTTGAGGCCGAGTCGACCTAGGGGAGGCCCCGAACCGGTTCAGATAATCGTCACTGGCGTTGGCCGTGAGCGGGAATTGAACATGGGTCGCTAACCGCTACACTCCCGTATACGCACACGCACTGTCTCGCGGGGCACTTGCACCATTGGGCAATTGTTATTCTCTTTGTTTTCCATTCTCTCTCTCTCTCACACACACACACGAAAGTCGCACCTCTCCAAATGTTCTCGCGAGCCGACTGAGACCGTAAGTCGGTGGGCAGGGGACGTCCCGCGAGACGAATGGCGCGCCCCCTTTTCATATCGCGCCACGCTCGGTTGGCATTTAATCTTTATGACGCCATCGGCGACCCGCGTATCTCTTGTCGCGTGGGGTACACCCACCCCCCCCCGCACGCCTCCGCACGCCTCCGCACAACCCCTCCCGCCGGCGTTTACGAAGGCTCGTCAACATTTTGTCGGCATCACGCCGAGAGAGAGAGAGAGAGGTGGGAGGAGGAGTGTCACCACCCCGCGTCCCCCACACCCCCATTTTTGACTCACGGATCGAGCCGCTCCGATGGAAGCTCTGGCTGGTTTCATGCCAGGAGCGGGCGGGGTGCCAGCGCTGGACGTCCCAGTGAATGAGAGGCGGGGGTGGGGGGGTGGTAGCAATTAGTGAGATAAGGGCACGGCACAATCGCGGAATCGCACGCACGGGAGTCTTTATTTATTTATTTTGGTCGGGGTTTTATTCTTCTATTTCTCCCTCCCAAGGAGGTCCCCACTTCCCACTTCTGATAAAGGCGCCCCCCCCCGTCCGCCCGCCCGCCCCCCCCCGTCCCCTACATTGTTGCCGGATGCAAATAAATGATCCGGGCTTGAGAAAGGAAGTTTCCGTAGGTGGCGACTGTTTTGAGTCTGACGAGGGCGGTGCTCTTGGTTACCACAGCGTGAGCTGCGCCATCGTCATCATCATCATAATCCCGCATCTCCGGTTAGCACGGTTGGCTGCGTGCGGTGCGAAAGAAGTTCAACTTCCACGCGTACATAATCATTTACCATCGTCGTGATCGTAATCGCAACAACACTGACAATTGTGGCTACGCCAACCGTAGATTTAAATTTACGTTCAAAAGTCACAGTGAATATTTTGCAAGTTCATTGGCAAGGAAATGCCGGTGTTTTAGCAGAGACAATTCAAGTGCCAAATGGACCTGCCAATTTCACCCGCCTCATGATCATCCTTCAGTGAATGGGGAGGTTTGACCAGGAGCTGGCGGCCAGGTTGATATTTAGCAAAAAAATGGCTCGCGACATCTGAGACGTGCAATACCGTCCTGCACAAATCATTCCGGGGTTGGCAGCGCTTTAGCTATCGAGCGCACGCAGGCGGTGCAACTGCACCACCAGGTTCCCTGCGCCAGAGCGGGCCCAGGTTCTGGGCTCCGAGGGGCGGGGCTGACGGAAGGGAATTGGAGAGGGGGCCCACACCGAATTCTTTGCCCCGAAGCCAACCCCGCACCACCACATCACTGAGGTTGATCGGACCACTTCGCAGCAAACGCGTTATACATACACAACATTAAACACGTGTTTTTTTTATGATGCTGCTGCATTGGCGGTTGTGCACGAGCACGACAATAAAAAAGAAATCAACAAAAGACTAAAGACATTCGTCAGTAATATTGTGACATAAACATTTTTTAATATATATTGTGACTATATCATGTGACATTTCAGGGTAATGGTCCTTCTTCATAACACATACATCGATTCGCACATGTTGTGTTTGTGCTCTGAAGAATAGCCATTTCCAGAAACGTCGCCTATAATATAAGTTACATTCAAAGGCCACATTGTTATTGATAAAGGTGTTGATTTATTTATAAACATGCATATATTACTGTATTTATACATTCGCGGTAAGCATACGCACACCGTAAACTTACCACGAAAACGAATCACGTTTTCTACTTTTGTGCAGATTCAGAACGGTCAATGACAGCATTCTTCTGTGTATGTTGAACTTCTTTCGCACAGCACGCAGCCAACCGTGCTCATCGGAGGCTCAGCCAATCGTCGCCGGCGATCACTGAGAATCCCCCTTGCGACTTTCGCTTAAACCTAGCTACATTTCCACTGCAGCGACTGCCTGGCCAGGCAATGGGTAGGTAACCTGTACAGCCCATGGGCCACACAGAACCCACGTTTCATACGGCCCGCGGCTTACATGAAACCGCTCGCCAACGACGTTTATCCATCACTGCCAGCATCGTTTCGCAGCGCTCATTGGGATGCTGGAGGTGAATATTTTTACTGGTAGGAACGAAGTTGTAAACTGAGTGTACCAGCCTGCAATAGATTAATGTGTCCGTCCGTCCGTCCCCTTTCAATACTTTAACGAAGTGAAAAATTCCAATGTTCCTACAGCCCACCCTGCAGGGACCTGTTTTTTATCAACCTGGCAACAACACAGTCAGCGGTTGCCTTTACAGTCGTACCTGAGCACACATTGAACGCGACAGAGAGCTGGCGCTATCAACGTTTTAATGTCGACTACCCTGCGATGTGTGGCCCTGCTGGAGGGAATTAAAGTTCTATTTTGGCCCTCGGTTAAGAAAGGGTTATCCGAGCCTGTGTTATGGCATTCCGGTAAAAATGTACAGGTGCAGCCCCGCAATTACCCAAACACGACACTGTTGGTCAAAGGGCTTTCAGGAAAGTTATCTACAGAGTATATTTTGGCCTACTCTTCCAACGCTGGCCAGATGCCTTAGAAGATGTGGGAGGATGCCCACAGGCAATCTGCCGATCGACTGCCATTTAAACTGCTCGGCAGATAGAAGGCAAGGGGGAGTGGGGGGCGGTGGGAGGGGGGGGGGAGATTTCACCCTGCCGCGCACAGAGATCGAATCGATCCGGCGACCCCTGAGATTGCGCGCGCAAGTGCAGAAGACGCCAAATAACCCCCACCCCCCCCCCCCCCCATAAACAATCCCCCGCAGCAGCTTCCTCGGCACTCCAACGCGGTCCGTCAATGTCGTGGACGCAACTGACAAGAGAGAGGTTGGGGGGAGTGGGTGGTGGAAATGATTCCCTGGTTTGTTGACCGGCACCTTAATCCCAGACAGCCCCCCCCCCGTCGCCCCCACTCCCACCGCAACGCCTCACCCCCCCCCCCCCCCCCACGGCGTAATCCCTGCCCACCGCATAGCCACGGCACTCACTTAACGGCGGCTTAACTTGAACCTCGTCTGACTGCGTGAAAATCAAGCGGTGCCCCTTTGTGAGTAAAAAAGGGCCAAAGGTTTGGCGCCGTGTACTTCGCACACAACAGACGAAGGCAAATGTCCCCCGTATAGCCTGTGACGGACCGTTTGGGGCAGGTGCTGTTAGCGAGCACGTATGAAGGCCGGCACGGCACACGATGGGGTGGGTGGTCAGCAACCACGCACGGTCGCCTTTGTCTCCCTCGTGGCGATGTTTCTTTTACAGACAAGTGCTGTTAGCGAGCACCTATGAAGGCCAGATCGGCACACGATGGGGTCGGTGGTCAGCAACCACGCCCGGTCGCCTTTGTCTCCCTAGTGGCGATATTTTTTACGCACCGCACCAGATACTCATTTGAGGCTGAGTAGACCGAGGGAGGGCCCAAGATCGGTTCAGACAATCGTCGCTGGCGCTGTTAGCGGCGAGCGGGCTATCGAACACGGTTCACCGGATTCATAGCTCAGCGCGCTAACCGCTACACCACCGCTCCCCACCAGACGCAGACACAGGGACACGCACAGAAAGCCACAGAGAGAGAGAGAGAGCGAGAGAGCGAGAGAGCGAGCGAGAGAACTCGGTGTTCATTTACGGGGTGGGATTCGGCTTCTTGAAACAGCGCCAGCCACGCTTGATGCACGCACTCACTCGCACGCTCTCTGCCTGCCGGTGCGTGAGTTGCGTGGGCGCTCCCGCTCGCTCTCGCGTGTTTGCGGTGTAGGCACCAAAATCAACGGTCGCTTGCGCCGTCAGCGTCACACAGCTACCATGAGGTCATTGTCTTAAGCAACAAAACAACACAAGAAAAACAAAACACGTTTTAAAAGGTCATTAACTCGCTGGAAGTGTCTGAGCAAATAGTGTTCGAGAAAATTGCAAAAAAAAACCTTGTGGGGGGGGGGGGTGGTTGGGGGTTAAAATTTTTATTATTTTAAAAAAGTATTCGGAGACGTGGGGTGATGGTGGTGACAGACAGTGCGCTGGAAGTAGCACTGCGATTCCGTTGAGCAAGGGAAGGCCTTCGCGTGTCTGAACAGCTTTCAGAATCAGAGTCGTTATGTATTACTGGAGGAATCCGATGAGCTATGAAGCTCTTTAAAAAAACTATTTACAGTCGTCCCGTTGTTTTCACAGATGTCCGAGTAGACGTGACCCGAGAGGCGCCGCGCAGCGACGACTACGAAGTTCTTAGCAAAAGACGACTGACTCACCCTTGCTTCTGTGGAGTCGTTCACCAAAAAAAACGTCTTAAGCAGCTCATTTGTTCATCCCTTTGACATGGGCTCAGTGCACTTTGGGCTGCGCGCTGCAGGAAAAAAACCACAACAAGCAGAGGAGGGCCACTGTAAACGATTCGTCTGTTGTCTTCTCAAGAGATTATTGTCTGAGGAGGAGGAGGAAACACACTCCGAGAAGACATCCAACGGGGAGAGATGGAGCTCACGAATTAATAGAAATCGGCTGCAGCGTACTGGCTATATTAATTGTTACATCGCAGGGCCGTGAGAGATGGAGACGGTTCGTGGAGGCTTTCATCCAGCAGTGGATAGGTCATGGTTGATGATAGCGATTACGGGGATGGTGGTAGTATTTTGAAATCCTGGGTAGCCTCGGTTGGTACAAGAGCAGGCTTCTTGACTGTGATGCCACCAGTTAAAATCCCAGTCATGATCAACTCAGCCCCATTATCACCATCTCTCCAAGCAAGAGTCGAACGTTAATTTAAGATTTGTACGCGTTATTTTATATACAGTACAATTTAACTTTCCAAGATTTGGCTAACTATGATCACGTTCATTAATTTGCTTAGTTTTTAAGATTTCATTTGGTCTTCAATCTGTCTTTATTTTTGTTTAAATCTAATTGTGGAATGCTTTGATGTTGTCTGCGGACCGAGTTGCGTTTGTAAAAGAGCTTCTTAGCTCTACGGGCTTTCCTTGGGAAATAAACTTCTGATTCTTGTATCTCTCTCCCATTCGAAGTGTGCCATCAGAAACGATGTCACGAGGTTAAGAGTATTTGGCTGAAATACATTTCCACATAAGTCACTTCGTTGAGCTATCATTTGTGGCCAGGTCGCTTCTGAAAAAGAGCTTTAGGGGCCATCCATTGAATACGTACGCAAAAAATCTGTCAAAACTTGACTGCTCCCCCCTCCCTGTACGCACGCGGACTTTTTACACCCCCCCCCCCCGAATCCTATAGAACGGCCGATATTTAATTTACGCAGAAACGATCAAGGATTAATAATATTAACGTGTTTAAGCA